TGTTCATAAACCGGCTGTGTTTATTTTTATATTTATTTATTTATTTATTTATTTATTTTTAAATTTTTATTTATTTATGATAGTCACACACACAGAGAGAGAGAGAGGCAGAGACACAGGCAGAGGGAGAAGCAGGCTCCATGCACCGGGAGCCCAACGTGGGATTCTTTTTTTTTTTTTTTTAATTTTTATTTATTTATGATAGTCACAGAGAGATGTATAGAGAGAGGCAGAGACATAGGCAGAGGGAGAAGCAGGCTCCATGCACCGGGAGCCTGATGTGGGATTCTATCCCGGGTCTCCAGGATCACGCCCCGGGCCAAAGGCAGGCGCTAAACCGCTGCGCCACCCAGGGATCCCAAACCGGCTGTGTTTAAAATGGACCACTTGTCGTCATTTGCCAAAACCTGCAAGTGCCCCATGATGTTTAATAATTAAATGGAACTTGTAGTGGGCACCGTGAACCACAGCTGAGTGCCCCAAATGGAATGCAGCCCTGCTTCATCTTCTGCGCCACTTGCTGTCACTCTGGATGCTTGTTTCTGTCACTGAACTCTCAGTGGCCAGAGCCCTGCCTGGAAGCTGGTGACGACGACATCTGGGACTCCAGGTGAGGCAGTCCTGGGGCTGTTGGGGATACCTGCTTGAAACACGTGTTGTGTGAAGGGAAGTCTGTGCCCCGGGTGGTGGGGACCCAGGAGGAGCCTCAGGTCCTGGAGACATGTCTGGGCTGAGGTTTGGAGAATAAATTGGGGCAAGCCCATTTTTTTGTGAAATGCAAGGGGGAGGCTGGTTTTGTAGAACAGGCCCAAGGTGAATCTTTGGTAAATGAAAAGTTCCTTTTGTTAAGGAAAACAGTTGCCTGTTATTTTGCTCCCCATCTTCCCATCACAGGGATCAGGTCTTTTTTATCTTTGTATCCTCTCCACCTCTGCCTCGCTCCCCAGCCCCAGCAGGGTTATTCTATACATCTTGCTAAGTGCTTGTTGAGTTGACTTAAAAATACCATAAGCCACTTATTAAAAATAATTAAGGAATCATTGTCACGATGGTTTGCTGTAACAGGTATGGTAGTCATATTTTTAAAAGCCCTTATCATTGGAAGTGTATAGTAAGAAAGTATTTAAATGTGAAGTGATGCGATGTCTGGGACTTGCTTTAAAATACTGCTGCACTCTGCCCTCAAGGTGGTGGAGAATAATCCCTCATCCCTCAAGGGTGGGCTGTGCATAGCGACTTCATCCCAGAGAGGACAGCATGGACAGGGGGACAAAGTGACTTTACAGTGGAGAAGTCTGACAAACACACCTCCCCTGATGATGAAGGTCAACATTGACAATTATTAGGCATGTTGATGGCACAGGCCTGGATAGGATGGGCTGGGAAGGGCACCTCCCCTCTGTGGTCATCCCAAACCCATAACCCAGTTTAACCGTGAGAAAACCATCAGACAAATCCCAGGTCAGGAACAACCTACAAAATATCTGCCCAGTACTCCTCAAAACCGCCAGGGTCATCAAAAAACAGGGAAAGGGGGATCCCTGGGTGGCGCAGCGGTTTGGCGCCTGCCTTTGGCCCAGGGCGCGATCCTGGAGACCCGGGATCGAATCCCACATCGGGCTCCCGGTGCATGGAGTCTGCTTCTCCCTCTGCCTGTGTCTCTGCCTCTCTCTCTCTCTCTCTCTCTCTCTCTCTCTCTCTTTGTGTGATTATCAGAAATAAATTTTAAAAAAATTAAAAAAAAAACAAAAACAAAAACAAAAAACAGGGAAAGTCTGAGCAATTGCCACAGCCCAGAGGAGCTAAGGAGACATGATGACTGAATATAATGTGGGATCCCAGATGGGGTCCTGGAACAACAAGAGGACGTTGGGCACAAACCAAGGGAACCTGGACAAAGTATGTGTTTTAGTCAACAACGATGTGTCAGTATGGGTTCATTAATTATAACAAGTGCACCAGACTAATGTAGACTACACATTGGAGAAACTGGGGGCCGAGCTGTATGCGAACTCTGTACTATCTTCACAACTTTTCTATGAATCTAAAACTTTTAAAATATAAATTTTGTTGAAAAAAATTACTCCTGTTAAACAAAAGGAGGCGAAAGAGGGGAGAAATGAAAAAGGCACAAAGTTGGTAATTGCTGAAGTGGGGTGATGGGTATGAGAGGTTTCGTAGACTCTTCGCTATACTTCTTTTCATTTAAAGATTTTATTTATTTATTAATGAGGGGGAGAGAGAGAGAGAGAGAGAGAGAGAGGCAGAGACACAGGCAGAGGGAGAAGCAGGCTCCATGCAGGGGGCCCAATGCAGGACTCAATCTTGGGACTCTAGGATCACACCCTGGGCCGAAGGCAGGTGCTAAACCGCTAAGCCACTCAGGGATTCCCTCTTCGCATTTTTAAAATTTTTTAAAATTTTAAAAAATTTTTAAAAATTCTACAATAGCAAGTTTTTAGAAAGTCAAGTCACAGATCCAGTATGTTGGGGCTACTGGCATTGTGGCTACAGGCTGGTATATCGAGCTCCGGACAGGCAGTCACACTGTGAATTCTGGAGTGATGTGAGCAGAGGATCATCCCAGGGGATGAGACCGGTGTCTTCTTGGGAGAAGATGGCCCTGAGCTGGTCTGGCAGAGGGGCTGAGGATTAAATGTGTGTGCATGCAGGCGTTTTTCACACCTGAACAAACTGGAGAACCTTGCTAGGACCTAGGAAAGCTGGCTTACTTCCTTGGGCCCGGCCATTCCTAACCCTGGTCCCTCCAGGACGCCCAGTGACCCAGGCAGTCCTGCCACAAGGCTGCAGTGCTCTTCTGAACATGGGTGTAGGTTCCCTTCATTCAAAACAGACACAGCTTCTCGGTAGAAGAGTTACAGCACAGACTTTCTGGAACCTTCCCTCCAACTTTCTTCTACTACCAAATCAGCCAAATGATTTGGTCTGGTGTCTGTGAGCGTTTGCCTTCTCACCCTGCTTATAAATTTGCTTTTCTTTTAGTGATTCCCCTCAATTATTTTGTTCTGAGGCTGCAATTAAAAAGGGATTGTTGTGGCCTGGGGCCCAGAGGCACTGCTGGTCCCCATTAGCTGGTCCCCTAATGCGGGGGAAGCTGGGCCCTGGCAGTAATTTCTTTGTAAGAATAATGGGTTGGATACTTATGGGTCCATCAGGTGCCCAAGCCGGAGCGTGACATCGAATTTGGAAAGCTGGGCTGGTGTGTAATCTACACAACTGTCTCCCGAATCTCTCATGCATGGTCAAGAGCACCTGTGTGGCCTGGTTGACAGCGGCATCGCTACCACCACCACCACCATCATTGCCATCATCATCATCATCATGACTTTGAACAGTGAGTGAATTACGGTCATGCGCAGGTACCTGGCACCTGACAGGTGCAGCGCCCTCACGTGCTCCGGCCTCCAGCACTGCCCTCGAGGGCCCTGCAGGTGGGCTAAGATCGTGGCCTCCACCTGGCAGGTGCAGAAAGCGAGGCTGGGCGACAGCAGGGACCCGCGCTGCGGCCTAGGTGACGTTCCCCCCTCCCCCGGCCTCTCTGGCTCCCCAAGTCAGGCAGGGCAGGGCCCAGCTCGCTCTCTCCCCCTCCGTCCCCACCTGGCAGCTCCCTGCCCTCTGCGCTTGCCCTCCACCCATTAAGAGAGTCAGAAGGCCTCTTCCAGGGGTCTTTGCTTTGTCCTCCCGCCCTGCCCCAGGCAGGCCTTGGGGAGCCCAAACACCTCCTTCTGCCAGGGCCCTGCAACGGCCTGGCTCCCGCACACTTGTCCCCAAATTGCAGGCAGGAAACCAGAACCCCAGGTAGCCTTCTCACTTCCTGCCCTTCATCCTGAGGCTTCCATCCCTGTGATGAGACCCCAGGTCTCCCCTTTCCCACCGAGAACCCCATTCACTGGCATCCAGAGCTGCTCAGATGGCTCCCTGGGTTGTCCAGTCCCATCCATACCTGTTCTTCCCCTTCCCACCACTTCAAGGTGCCCAGGCCCCAGTAGGTCTTGTGCCTGGCTGGCCCAGGGGTGGCTTTGACAGACCAGTGTCCCAAATGAGTGACCTCAGACACGCAGGGAGCTCCCATAGGTGGCCAGAGTCCACATGCCGCAGAGTTGGAGTAGTGCTCATTTGAATGACCCGAACACCAGCCATGTTGACATCCCAACAAGGGTGAAATCCCGTGTGGGGCTGAGATCTCAGCCGTTGCCAGGGTCCAGGCAGCGGAGATGAGCTGGAGCATGGGAGGAGACGGGCTCTGAGCCACAAGTGGGGCTCATGCCTAAGAAGATGGGATAAGCCCTGGGAGGATCTGGAGGAGAGGCATGTGTGGAAGGAAGTGAGGGGCCCTGGGGCCGAATCCTGGGGCCAGTGTGCTTCCGAGCACAGGGAGCTCCTGGCTCCACTGCCAATGCTGAGGGTGTCGGGACACCCTACAAACCCAGCCTGTCCATGTCTCTTCTGACGCAGGGTTTCACAGAGGAATGGAGTTTGGTGTCAGATAAACTGAATTTGAATACCTTGTCCCTAAAAGGCTGTGTGACTTGGGCAGCTAAGTTCCTCTCCGAGCCCTGTTTGCTCATCTCAAAATTGTGTATGATCACGCCTACCTCACGGGGGTTCTGGGAGCTATAAGTGAAGTACCGCCTGCCAAGTGCCTGGGGACTCACTGTGCACGGGTGGTCCCTGCTTCCTGCTGAAGAGAATCGTTATTTCTCCCCAGGGATTTCTAGAGGGGACCAGAATCCCATAAGGAATACTCTCAGGAGCCATAGCTCCAGGCCTTGCCTAGCAGGGCTGGATGCGGGGCGTGGAGTGGGCCTGAACCACACTTCTTGGAGGGTGGGTGCAGCATCAGAAATGACACGGGTAGGAAGCTATTCCTATACACATGCCAGGCCCCACCCCAGGATCCCCCCAGGAGGCAGGAGGGGTCATTCCCAGGTGCTGTGCTAGTGGAGAGCCCCGTTCTTGAAAGACTCTTATGCACAGGCTGAGAGGAGAATCACAAAACTGTTTATTTTCCCACTCTGATAAGAAAAGATGGATGCAGGGTGCAGAGAAAACCCAGCTATTCTCTTGGTGACCACGCAGAATCCACACACAAACCCAACAGGCTGTGTCTTTCCTAAGGAATTTCTTTCTGCTTCCAGAGAACTGTAATGCACCTTCTAAGTGCTCTCCAAAGACATTGTGTCATGCTGCTTCTGGGCAGAACTGGTCATACCTGCTACCTGACAACAGCCATGTCACTGGACATACAACATCCAACTGGCAAAAAAAAAAAAAAAAAAAGTACCAAATGTCAAATTTCATACAGTCAGTGCAAGAAACGGTTTTCTCTTGGCATCTAGACTGGCTGCCCCCCGAAAAATGTCTTTCTTTCCTTGGTCCCTTGCAACGCCCCAGCCCATGGGCAGAGAAGGAGAGCAAATGTTAACCTTGGCGTAAAAAAAAAAAAGCAATGTTTTCAACAAACAGTTGAGTAATTGGACTCATTATTTAAATATATCAGACGAACTTATTCATCTGGCCCAGCTTAATACATGTTGGCCTAACGCTACAAACAAATATGTTAATTTGAGAAATGTCAAGAGGGACAGGCATAGTTGTTGTAGCAATGACTTGGCCTGGAGGCACAGGTGTGGCTGCACCACGGACAGGCCCTCAGAACCAGTACTCGGAGACAAAGATGTGGACGTTGACAACGTTTCGGTGGGACACCACACCCCCGACCACGTAGTTCATCTCCAGCTTCAGGACAGCATGAAACGGACCCACGATGGGCCGTACTTGGCGCACAATACCTGGGGAGAGAAGAGAAGGTGTCTCAGACCTCATCACATTCCCACGCGGAGCCAACTGTTTGAGTCCCCTGCATGGCATCTACCTCCCAGGGGTCGCCCCGGGGGCTCTGCTTCCACCTCCAGGGACAAATGATAGTGAGCTCACCCTGGCCATCTACCTGACAGAGGATTTGAAAGAGCCTAGAAATGGGTCTGGTGTGGCATGGATGCCCAGTAGACGCCTGTCCCCCTCCTCCCTACCCACTGTCCCAGTCCTGACCCTTGGGAAGAAGCAAAGCAGATGTGATCCTCTCTCCTGTGATACTGAAGATCACAGTGGGGTCCTGGAAGCCCTTTATCCAAGCACAGCTGTCCCCACCACACATACCCCTGGACCCCTCACGGTCCATGCCTCTGTGGCGGGTGACACCTGAGCTCATTGTAACAGATGAGCAAGAGGTGGCTCTGCCAATAGAGCCTCAGAGCAGGTCCAGCCTGAGCAGTGGAGCTTGGCCAGGGTGATAGGCAGGAGGTCGGGTGCTGGAGGGGAGACAGGCATTGGTTCTGGGGAAGCAGAAACCAATGTGTGTAGCTGCTGGGGAGGCAGAGGGTTCTGCGGCAGAGGAGGGACCACACAAAGGCCAGGACTGGCAGCCTCCTCCACCAGGGCTCAGAGTTCAGGGCACCGGCACAACCCATCTCCTGGGGTGGGCGTTACCCCAGCTGGACTGTGCATGCACTGCTGCCCTTTCTGGACCTGATTTCTCAGCGAGCAGACGGTACCATGTGACCCCATCCTTGTGCACCGCCCGGTCCAGACGGCCTAGCACAGCATCCGCCCCAGGTATGAGCTCTGGGTGTGCAGGGCCACCTCCCCGCCAGACTGAGGGCTCAGCTCTTCACCTCCACGTGCGTTCGTGCATTCCTCCGTAGGCACCACGAGGCGTTCTCAGCGATACAGAGAAAATCACAGAATCCTGGCTCAAAGCCCACGGAGGAGCTAAGTAGGGGCAGTGTTCTGATAGAAGTCCAGCAGGGGAGAGTGGAGGAGAGCTGAGGAGTCTGAGGGAGTCAGGGAAGGCTTCTTGGAGGAGGGGGTCCCCCTCCTGCAGAGGAAGCAACGCAAGCCAAGTCTGCAGGTTGGCTGATCCCTAGTGAGTGGGCAAAGAAGCTGCTGAGGTTTAGGGAGGAATGACGTCCAGAGTCCTTTCTCCATCCCACCTGCTCTGATATTAGGGCCTGCCCAGCGTCATGGGATGTAGGGGGTGGCTCTTGGGCTGATCTTAAGCTCCTGAGGTGACATCACTGAAGGCGAGGGTGGGAAGAGTGGCCCAGTGGCCCTTGTCTGGCTGTGCCACCGCACGGTGCTGGCAAAGAGCAGGCTTGGGGCCTGTAGCTCCACAACCATGTGCCAAGAGATCGCCACTGATAGTTTGCTGCAGCAAACTCCAGGCTGGTTTCTACCAACATCACTGCCACCGACCTCGGAACCCAGGAACCCAGGAACCCTGGAACCCAGGAACCCCGCGCGGGGTAGTGCAGCCAGGCCCGGGGGCCCGCCTCTGTTGCGTCACGGGCTCGGGGAGTCCCCCGCTCACGGAGGCCCTTCCCCACCAGCGCAGGGTCCCGGTCAGGAACACCAAGTTCACGCTCAGAAGGGGAATTTGGGTGTGCCATCCCCCCCACCCCTTACACTCCCTGGGCTTATGTTTCAAAAGTGAAATGCCCAGCAGCAGGGGTGGAATTCCAGGCTATTCTAAGTAAACAGGGGCTTTAGCTCTGATGGAGAGATATTGTGCAGGCTGTCAGCACCCTTTCTCTGCCCCTGCCCGGCAGTGACATTGTAGCTTTGTCCTGGGTGAACGCCCTCGAACATCTTTAGCTTGCTGCTAAAGACGCAGGCTTGTCAGTGGCCCTCCGTCTGCCAGCGGCCCCCATGACCCGGCCACTCCCGCCTGCCCTGCTTTGGGCACATAAATCGAGGCTGGGTCGTGGGGGGGGTGCGCTTCTGGGGAGTGCCTCCCCTGCTGTGTCCCCTCCCTGCTTCTTGTCACCCTCTCCCCTCCCCTGGCCCGGGGCCCACAGTGGTGCCCACCAGACTCAGTGGCCTGGGTCACCTTCTGACTTCACCCACCCTGGGGACAGAGGCCATGACTCTGCTTCCAGTGCTCAGAGGAGTTTCCGGGTCTCCAAGGAAGAGGTGAGAGGCTGCAGGAGCCTGAGAACTATTTTAGGACAGAGGAGCAGTGGAGTGGAGGGTACACGTCTGCATGCTGTGGTCGGATGTGTATTGATTTCTATGTATCATTATTATATTTATATAGCATATAATTAATGCATGATATATATTCTAAATCACTTTGTTATTGGAATGCCAAATATATAACTACATAATATGAAATATGTAAATATACTTATTAAAAATATATTAGGGGCGCCTACGTGGCTCAGTTGGTTACGGGTCTGCCTTCAGCTCAGGTCATGATCTCAGGGTCCTGGGATCGAGTTCCACATCAGGCTCCCTGCTCAGCAAGGAGTCTGCTTCTCCTTCTCCCTCTGTCCCTGTCCCAGTATATGTTCTCTCTCTCAAAAAACTATTTATTTTATTTAAAATCTTTAAAATATATATATTAAAACCTAACATATATGAATATTATTGTATTATATATAAAATTAGTAATTATATATTTTAAATTTATATAAACTGCAATATATCTGTTATATAAATGTTTATATAAATTTACGATTATATAAAAAGATAAAATGTACTTATGAACGTATATGTAAAACAGAAATGTTATAAAACAATTATACACACATTTGAATAGCATGAATAGTTCAGACCCATAGATGTTTCTAGGCATGTATATGTGTGCCAAGCATGGCGCTAAGTTAAGTATGTAAAGGAAATGATGGGCTATCCTCGTGGCTCAGAGAGGGGACAGGGAATAGTAGTACGATCCCAGAAGAGTTTGTTAACCTTCCTGCGTTTTAATTTGCTCTTCTGTGATACAGGGATTAAAAATAGCAACCTTGGGACACCTGGGTGGCTCAGCGGTTGAGTGTCTGCCTTTGGCCCATGACGTGATCCCGGAGTCCTGGGATCGAGTCCCACATCAGGCTCCCTGCATGGAGCCTGCTTCTCCCTCTGCCTGTGTCTCTGCTTTTCTCTTCGTGTCTCTCATGAATAAATAAATAAAATTTAAAAATAAAAAAAATAAAAACAGCAACCTTCAAAATCAGAAACAAAACAAGCAGAAGGACATACTCCTCTGTCCCCTTCAGAAATGATTACTGTCCAGCAAAAAGCATTCTAATTCCAATTTAAATGGGATCTGATTTTCAAAGTATGGCTGATTTCTTGCATGATGGAAAAATAGAGCAAGTATTGGGGATTTTTACTGGATTTGATTTTAAAATCGTATTGAAAGGAAAGCCCTGAATGTGTAGAAGTGCTTGCATCTGAATCTATCACGTTGGGCACTTTCTGAGGTTTGGTCTCTGCCAAGCAGTGGCTCGTTGTTCGACCACAGCTGAGTGCTGAGACAAAAGAGGCACAGAAAGAAGCCAGGGGCTGCGTCAGTGAAAGGGGTGCTGGGAGGGCTGCTGGGAGGTGGGCCCAGCTTCTGATGCAGGTCACATTCAGAGCCGGGGTTTCCGCAGGGCCTTTGCATTTAACCAGAGAAATGATTAAGGCGGAACAAACACGCGTGCTGCAAGTGTGAAACAAGAAGGCGTGGATGTCCATAGCTCAGAAGTGTGTCCCTTGCCTGGTCCCCTGCACCGCCCCCCCCCCCCCCACTTCACGAGAAGGAGTTCTCTACCCCTTTCCTCTGCCCTGAATGCCCACCTCTAACCACCACCCCAGCTAACCCAGCGCTCCTTTTCCAGGCCACACCCATTCTGTGGACCTGACCGCTACTTCTTTTGCCCAGTCACGCCTCCCCTGGAGCTCCAGTTTGGGTGAACATGTTCCCTCCATTCCCAGATAGTTGAAGCTTGAATTTCACCTCCTAGTCTTCCCTTTGACCAAACTCAGGCCTTCTCCTGATATTACTTCTTTACAGCTTTCCTACCCACCAATCCATCCATCCATCCACCCATCCATCCATCCACCATCCATCCATCCACCCACACACCCATCCATCCATTTATCTATCCATCCATTTATCTACACATTCATCCACCATTTATCCATCTATCTACCTGCCTACTCTACTCACTCACCCATCCATCCACCATCCATCCATCCATCCATCCACCCACCCATGCACCCATCCATCCATCCATTAGATAACATTCTGCACAGGTAAGGTTTAAGATTCTACGGATATTTAAATTGGATTTTGAAGAATAATTATGAGCCTAGGAAGCAGGAAGGGCATGCAGAAACCACCCAAAATGATGGTTCAGGCCAGTTTTCAGAACAGTGTCAATCCTGGGGAGAGAAAGGCAGATGAGGCTAAGGAGGTGGTCACAGCCTGCTCCCAGGGCCTCACAGAACCAGGAATCTGGGTCTGCAATCTCCTGGCTTCCTCCCCACCACTGACTCTAGACCAGAGTTCATTCAGAACCACCAACAACCTTCCTACTGCTGAGAAACAACGGAGGGAGGAAGAGAGACATGTGCTGCCCATCTGTGGCACCACAGAGACTGGAAAGCCTCCCCAGGGGCCCAGTTCTACCCATCGACTTGATTCTGCAGATATAATATTGGCATCTGCTATGTGCCAGGCACTGGGGACCAGCCGGACTGCTTATGTCCTCTTTTATGAAGCCTCCCCAGCCCTGGGGTACCTGATACCCGGTGTCCCTTGGCTGTAATGCCACATCTGCCTGTGGCAGGGAAGCTACACAGTTGGCTCCTCCTTCAGGGGCAGCATCTGCACCTGGTTCATCTCTGTCCCACACTCCCCAGCACAGGGCCTGGGGCGGGGCACAGTAGGAGCTCCATCATGATTATTGAGTGGGATAAAGGCGGAGGAGGAAAGAAGACAAGAGGAAAGAAAGAAGAGCAGAGC